GTTCCTTCCTTTTTTTTTTTTTTTTTTTTTTTTTTAACCACGGGACCAGATTGAATGACCCGGTACTAGAAACATTACCTTATGCATTTGTTGATCGTAAAGTATTCTGAATTAAATTCAATTAGGTACAAAGCAGTGTAAAAAGGGGCCTAACAGACCTCTTGTATGTGAATTTAAGACCCCAAAAAAAAAAAAAAGACAGCCAAAATATTTGGATTACTGCTTGTATTGCTCCTGGATCCCTGGAACTTGACAAGGGCATAAATATGCAAGTAGGGTAGGGTTGGCGTTTATGGGAGTGAAGGGGGCAGAGCAGAGGGATGCAGGAAATGGGGGAGGGTCACGACAAAGCGGGTCTCGAGAAGATCTACAAGTGTCTGCCCTGGGTGGTTCCGACGACGTTAATGAATTAGGTTTGCTCCCGACACCAGTCGAAAGAGTCCGATTCAATAAAGCCTTGAAGAGAGAGAGAGCACACGTTTTGCCTGTGTGCGCGCATTACTGGACGTTGGCTTGAACGACGAGGCGCTCGCCATCAAAGCGCAACACGTAAATTGAAAAACAAGACCATGAAGCGGAGACGGCAGTCGAGCATATGGAGTAAGAAGCGGATACGAGTGGGCTCAGATTGCCGGGCGGTACGCTACACTGCGAACCTGTTAAGCCCATTAGCTCGGAGAGCAGAAGGGGTCTGTCTGCAGCCGTGCGGCTCGGGAAATTGGGGGAAAAAAACCGGGAAGGGACCAAAAATCACCACAGGAAAGCAGAACTTGGCTTATTCATCCAGATAATCGGAGACATGGAAAAATGATGTGGGAAAGTTCAGTTAATTTGTAAATGCAATCTGTGTGGTATTCTTCTGAATCGCACCAAAGGTCCATGGCGTGTACGACACATGGAGTGTTACACTCCAAGAATTTATGGAAGTACATGTAGAGGCTTTAACCATTTTTTTTTGGCACACCTAAAAAGTTCATTGGTCAATTTGACAGACAGCATGCTTAGTCAGGGGGAAAAAAAAAAAGTCAAGCTGATATCTTGAGCCCTTACTTGCCGTGGGAGTTGGGGAACAATGTTTATTTCCTGACATTTTCCCATCATGTTCCCCAAGACTTTTCGGGCGGAAAATTGAGGAGGAGATCAACTAAAAGCGGTGCGGACTTTAGCAACAGAGGTTGATAAAACCGCTGGAATGGTATCGTGCGGGTGGTGGTATGTCTGGTGAGCAGAGCACACTGCTCAGGCATTGCAGTATGAAAATGGCTATGGAGACCCTGAAGTGCTGTTTTTTTTTTTGGGGGGGGGCAGAATTTTAACCTGTCGGTGGTCCCTGTGAAGTTGAGCTTGCAGACACAAGTAAGTGGTTAAAACCCAGTGAGCCGCGAGATGAGCAGAGAGGATTAAACCAAGCGGTGCAGACAGACAAGGCCTTTTTTGTTTGCTTGTGCCTCGTCAAGCAACAAGCACTCAAGGAGATTAACCAAGCAGAGGTGTTAAAAAGAAACAATCTTTTGCCTTCCTTGAGCTCCACCCTGGTGAAAAAAAAATTAAAAAATACCCATCGCTTTTTGATTCACCACAAAGACAGACTAAAGGCAGGAGTAAGGCTTTAACTTCAATCTTAACCTTGAGCAGAGGTTGATCCAACCGTGGTGAGCTAGTCTAAGTTGACCATTTAATTAAACAGATCTGATTTGGGTGACACACGTCAAACCACCCCGATCTGTTGTGGGTAAAATTGGCCCATTTTAATTAAGTTGGCTAGAATATTTTTGAAAAAAAAAAATTTGCCCGTTAAAGTTATTGTTTTTTTTTTTTTTTTGCCCCGATTTAAAAATGGAAACTTTTGAACAAATATTTTATTCATGTTAAAAACAAAAATGTTTATAAGAGGGCATTGTCATTTTTTTATGATTTCCATTAAATTTTTTTTTTACTAGAAATAGCAACCCAAGCGGCTAAAAGATGACAGAAATATCTAAATTATCCAATGGTTTTTTTTTGTCCATCTTCTCCACTAATTCCTGCTATTTTTCATCTTCATCATGAACACACACGCGCACCACTTATTCCACCCCAATTTAAGACACACAAAAAATGCGTAGGCTACAAAATGCTACAAAACAGGAAGCGTGTTGTGCCTGCATGCTCTTCTTTATCTGAAAGCATGCATTTTGCTCCATGAGTAAGTGACCTTTCCGCAGCCTCGGCACGGCCCCCGAGGATATGGGTCACGGTCTCTAGTGTGGGAAAGATGCGACTGCCTGCCTGGCCATCGTTCCATCGTTCAAACATTAAACTTTCAACAAAGCTTGGAAAAAAAAAAATGGTGCCGTTTTTGGCCATTACTTTATACTGTGGTGGCTGAAAAGACTTATTTCCCCCCCCTTTTCCTACCTGATAGTAGGCTTTGATCTGCCTGATGAGAATGGAAAGGTTTTGGATTCGCAGCACGGGATCGTTGTTCACCTTCTTGTTTGTCCTCTGCACCGTGGCCTTGGGATTTCTGGTGAGAAAATATATCGATATAAAATGATGTCAGTCAAATCACAATCTTCATGAACGTCCATGTTAAAATCGGGGTTTGATATTGTACAGAGCGGGGCTGCAGCGAGTATTCCAATCGTGTATTCAACCGAATATCCTCTCGACTAATCGGATACAGATGTATTTTGCATTATTAAACGAAACAACATGCATGTGAGGTGCAGTTTTTTTTTCTTTTTACACACACCTCTTCAACCCTCATCTTATGTTGCTGGTCAAACGAACCTCTTTTGAAGTGTGTATGGATTTTAAAAGGTGGTGCCTGGCCTGGTGAGTGATGTGGGTGTCAGCATCCACATTTCTGCTCAAAGTGCCGTCCAAAGCATTCATTTGCATATCTGCGGGTATTAGCCGAAAAACACCAGCCTCCACTTCAGATCAGAGCTCTTCCTAAAACACAGTCTTTGATTTGAGGGGTTCCCCCCAGCCCCCTTTATCATCACTGACCCATAACGTGAAGAGTGTTGACTATCGTTTCGATTTCACTCTCTTTTGTTCTAAAAGTGGCTTTCCTCTCCCTCCTGTTAGGATGCGCACCACACATGGCAGAAAAGCACAGATGTGGGCATGCGCACACAACGGCACGCATGACAACACGCGTGCACTAGCCACCACGTGCATGCATTCATGCATGCATGCATTCAGGGGCGGCCGTCTCCTCCCCCCACACACTTGCAGCAAGTTGACCCTCATATATAGGTCACCAATGTAGATTGAGGCACATTTTCACAAACAAGAGGATGGTCTCTAATATCGAGACAGATCCACAAGTGAATGCTCGTGCCACCATGCTGTCAGTTCAACTCAAAAGTGTATTTGAAAGACAGCCAAAATATTTGGATTACTGCTTGTATTGCTCCTGGATCCCTGGAACTTGACAAGGGCATAAATATGCAAGTAGGGTAGGGTTGGCGTTTATGGATTTAAAATAAAAAAAAAAAAAAACAAAAAAAAAAACCACCCCCCCCCCTGCCGAAAACGGACCTTGTCTCAGTCTGGCGGCGGCTGCAGATGCGTTAATTACCCTTTTTGATCCCCATGCCTGATGCTATGAATGCTAATCAGCGACACAGGGCTCTTTTTAAATGGGTGAATTGGCAGTCACATGACCTGCCCCACACCACACGCGGGCCCTTCAGGAGTACATAGTGGGGGGTCGTTTTAAACACTTAATTAAAAAGTGGAGGCTGTAATCCTGTCAGAGCGAGGAGGGCGACGGGCTGAGTGTGTGTCGGAGCGGGGGACAAAAAGCGCAATGGAATGGTGGCCCTTGCACATTCCATGACAGCTAAAGCTCATCTGGAAAGCAAAAAAGTGACTCAAGTAAATCAAATTGTTCCCCAAATACATTTTAAGATTTGTAATACGGCAACGTTGGAGGAAGTATTACCCCTCCTGTAACGTGAACCATCAGTGTAGGTAATAGGGCTAGCGATAAGGTTAAAACTATGGTGCAGTGTGAGGCCATTCAAACAGTTTGAGGCGTGTCAGCAATGAGTACTGTATTTGGTCATGGTCACCAAAAATCATACTCAACATTGGCCTTGCAAGTCGAGGGGGCGCATGAGGCAGAAACACTCTCCCATAACGGAGTAAGCAGGATGCAAACTATGCCGTCATTCTCTATCCTTTGGGTATTTTGTGAAAATGTTAAAGACCCTTTAAAAAAAAAAAAAAAAAAAAAAACCCGAGAATGGTTTCACATCACACACACACACACACACACACACACACAAACACACACAC